AGAGAGAGAGAGAGAGAGAGAGAGAGAGAGAGAGAGAGAGAGAGAGAGAGAAAGAGAGAGAGAGAGAGAGAGAGAGAGAGATTTGTGACTTCGAGATTTGACGACATTTGGATACAGACCCGACTTTGGGTCAGAGACATTGACGACAGACTATTTGGGATCAATACCGACGACACTTGTGTGACGACATTCCCATCTTTCCCCTCTTCTTTGTCTGATCCCCCTCCTCTTCGTCTGTGTATGGTTTGGGCACTGACGCATTCTTCATGTGTGAGCATCAGACCCCCTTCACACCATGCGATGATGATGATGTATCTTTGGTCTGCATTGCGACATTGATTGGTCTGATCATTGGTATTTTAGCCTTCCGCTGCGCTATCCTATACTATGTGAGAGAGGTCGGTTCTTTTTCTGGTCTGTACCATTACGGTATGCAATAGTTTGGTATCGGAGCGGACCTCTCAATCAGAGGATGTGCCCAATCAAGGAGCCAGTTTGATCGCCTCGCCTATAGCAGATCGACATATATTCAAAAAAAAAACAAAAAAAAAAGGGGGGCAGTGCCACGTCAGCAGTGCCACGTTAGCAACAGTGCCACGTCAGCAGTGCCCCACCACCGTGACGGTTTCAATTTTGGGCATCCCAGGCCAACTGGCCAATGAGTCCATTGCCGAGTACCGACAGCGATTCCAAGCTCAGCTCGCACTGATCGAGGCCGAGGAACAGTGCCAGGCAGCGGCCGAGGCTGCCCACCTACAGGCTGAAGCGGAAGCAGCAACTGAAAAGCAGCGGCTTCAGGCTGCAGCTGACGCAGATGCCCAGGTCCGCCGCAAGGAGGCCCAGGATCTGCTGCAGCGGCACGAAGCCGCCAGCGTCGAGAGGCTCAAGTTCTGGCATTTTGAACCATCCAAGGGCCATGACGCCGCGACACCGGAAGAACAGCACAAGGAGTTTCTCTCTAAACTCGTGACCCGATTGGTTTACACTTGTAACCACCTGCAGTTCGAGCTGGCGAATCTCCGACGGGCAGTGCGGAACCATAAGGATCTGCACGAGGATGCTACATGGGCACTTCATTCCCATGTGCAGGACTTGGAGCAAGCAACACGAGGATCAGATGCTGACGAACCCAGCAATGCAGCCTCAACCCGCTAGTTGGAGCAAGTTGACCATGTTGTCTCAATGCTCGGCAACATCAGCACCGTCGCCGCACCAGCCACCATCAACGAGCAGCTCGACACCTTGAAGACTGAGGTTCGGCAACTACACCAGCCGCCCGACAGCGATGGCAGCACTAGTGCATCGAGGCCGTACAAGATGCCGGCCTTCCGGATCGAGAAGTTTGATGACTATACGCATCAGGACCCAGTCGTCTTGTGGCAAGGCTTTACAACGGAGATTGGGATTCATAAGGTCTCCAATCACTTGTACATCTCGACGTTGTTCCTCAACGCAAAGGGCAGATGCCAGATCTGGCTCAACCACATGGCAACCATCCACGACGTCCAGGCCTCCGACCTGCACAAGAAGATCTCCTTGGACAATACGATGAAGGAATGGAAGAAGCAGTTCATTGTGGACGAGGCCCCGACGCTCGCCATCAACCGCCTCTTTGCCACGACTCAAGGCAACACACCGACACACGGTTGGCTCACCGAATGGCAAAAGATCGTGGCAACACCTGATCTCGAGTTGCCGCCTTGAGCCTTGCACTCGGTGATCGAGAACAGTACACGACCTTTGCCGAAATCATCGACAAGGCACATGAGATTATCAAGACCAACCGGGCTGCTACACACGAGAAGTCAGCGTGGCAGCCAACCCATGTGGAGAAAGGAAAACTTGGTCCGCGTCCGCAGCCCGTCGCGGCCACCGGACAACATTGTGGAAGACCCGACAGCCACCCCAGCATCACGTGAGGGAGATTAGGTGGCCGCTGTCCAGCCGCGAAGCAACAACAACTCCCGTGGAACAGGGAGGGCAAAAACCGCATCGCCGACCAGAAATGAACATCCAGTACCATGAGTCGAGTTCAACTTGACCGAGTCCGAATACAAGTACCGCAACCGATATGGCTGCTGCTATTGGTGCAACAGCACCAAGCACAAGACCTCCCAATGCCAAGATCAAGGCAAAGAGGATGTTCGACCTTGAATCAGCTCGGAAAATTGAGCTGCGCGGGAGGTGGGGCGACTCCACCTCTCACTCCGCCAGATTCGGCCGCCTTGCTAGCGGGCTCCTACACATGTGGGGAGAATGCGGATGTCGTGAGTCCTCGATTCACTTACGAGGATCACGCTGTCCACTTGGTCCCACCGTTGGACCAGCCACTCCATGTGCAACAATCCACCACATGCACGGTTTCACCACCATCGACAACCGATTCGGCAGCTTCGCCGCCAACTTTCGCCGGGGATTCAACGTCGTGGTCAAGACTTGAGAGACTCGACCCGTTGACATTAGTGGACTTCCATTGGATGCCCCTTCCCCCCACCGGTCGATTGCCGAAACCGCATTGCAACGTGCTCATGGCGCAATTGCGGGATTACTTGCACACTGCAGTACCAGCTCCGTTGATGGACGCCGGAGTAGAGGTTGTTGACCTTCACGACTACGTTGCGAAGATCGATCGCAAGTTCAAGACACAACGATACGACAACAACGCCATTGCTGTACATACGCCTTCAGATCGGAGAGGCGACCTGCACCGCTTTGATCGATTGTGGAGTTACTCGCAACTATATGAGCCAAGACTTTATGGTACGCGCTGGCCCGAGTTACTCGCAACTATATGAGCCAAGACTTTATGGTACGCGTTGGCCCGAGTTACTCGCAACTATATGAGCCAAGACTTTATGGTACGCGCTGGCCTTGGGCCACGTGTTCGGAGGAAGTTGCAGCCCACGCAAGTCACGTTGGCTGACGGTCACACACACAAGTCAATCAACCGGTGCGTTGATTTCGTCCCCGTGTACTTCGCCCCGCATGTAAGCGAGGTCGTGTCCTTCGACATTTTGGACACCCAGTTCGACATGATTTTGGGCATGTCATGGCTGCGAAGCAAGGACCACCCGGTGAACTTCTACCGCCGTACCGTTCATTTTCGTGATCGGAACGGAGTACTAGTCCCATGCATGGTGCCTCCCCCTCACCCTTTGATTAGCTGTCATGTGGTGTCCGCAACAAGCATTCGAGCTTCCATCACCAGGGACGACATCGAGGAGATGGGGGTGTGTTTTCTCCTCGCCCTCCCTCCCCATGACATCCCATCGACGGAGGCATCGACAGACCCACGCATCACCGAGCTTCTCGACGCCTATGACAACATGTTTGAAGCCCCGCACAGAGTAGTACCAGATCGGCTCATCCGCACGAGATCATCCTCGAGGCCGAGTCCGTAACTCCACGTCGTTGCATCTACCGCGTGAGCGAGAAAGAGTTAAGTGTGCTACGGGCACAACTCGATGACCTTCTTCAGAAAGGCTGGATTCGGCCTAGCTCTTTGCCATACGGCGCTCCTGTTCTCTTCGTCCGGAAGAAGAACAAGGACTTGCGGTTGTGCATCGATTATCGCAAGCTCAACATGCAAACCGTCAAGAACGCCGACCCTCTCCCGCGCATCGACAACCTTCTCGAACGGCTGGGCGACGCTAATTTTTTCTCCAAGCTTGACCTCAAATCGGGATATCACCAACTCGAGATGCGGTAGGAGGACCGGTACAAGACCGCGTACAAGACGAGATATGGGCATTTCGAATGGCGGGTTATGCCTTTTGGCCTAACGAATGCTACGGCCATGTCCCAAGCAGTTATGACGATGGATTTCCGACACATGCTGGACATATTTGTACTCATCTACGTCGACGATATCTTGGTGTACAATTGGAGTTTGGACGAGCATGTGAAGCACCTGCGCACCGTTTTGGAACGGCTACGACAAGCCAAGTACAAAGCCACCGCGACAAATGCGGATTCGCGCAGCAAGAGTTCGAGTACTTGGGCCATTTTGTGGAGCCGCAAGGCATCCGTCCGCTCGAGGACAAGATCGAGGCCATCCGAGTATGGCCCGAGCCCACCAACACCACGGAAGTTCGCTCGTTCATGGGGTTGGCGGGCCACTACCAACGCTTCATCACCGGGTACTCAAGGATCGCCGCACCATTGACGAGACTACAATTGCCAAAGGTGCCATTCGTATTCAGCGACGAAGCTCACTGGTCATTCCAAGCACTCAAGACGGCCATGCTCATGACACCCGTCCTTAGCATCGACGACCTCACCTTGCCAACGAGAGTGACGACTGACGCTTCCGGCTATGGCATTGGGGCAGTCTTGGAACAACACGATGGCGACGACTGGCACCCCATGGAGTATTTCAGCCACAAGGTGCCTCCCATCAATTCACTTGATGATGCAAGGAAGAAGGAGCTGCTTGCGTTCGTGATGGCTCTCAAGCGATGGTGGTACCTCCTCCTTGGGCGTCGTAGGTTCACATGGGTCACTGATAACAACCCGTTGACCTACTACAAGATGCAAGATACGGTGAGCATCACTATCGGACGATGGATGTACTTCATCGACCAATATGACTTCAAACCGAAACATCTCGCCGGCCTCTCCAGTCGCGCAGCAGATGCACTCTCGCGAAGACCCGATCTTTGTGCTATGACACATCATGCCTTCGTGTTGGACGAGGAATTCCAGCGGCACTTCATCTGGGGCTATGAGTCTGATCCGGATTACGCCACACTCTATGCGCAGTTATCTTCGGATCACCCGCCGGCCAGCCATTATCGCATCGTCGACGGGTACTTGCTTCTCCACTCACGAGGCAAGGACTTATTCTGTGTCCCACGACACCGTCGTCTTCGGACTCGCCTTCTCGACGAGTACCACGACTCGCGACTCTCCGGCTATTTTGGAGTCAATCGGACTATCGCACGACTTCGGCAACGATTCTGGTGGCCCGACCTCATTACCGATGTCACTCGGTATTGCGACACTTGCAAAGTTTGTTGATGAAGCAAGCCCCGCAACCGCAATCCCTACGGCAAGTTGCGCCTGTTGACTATTCCACGGGAACCCGGCCTCTCCATCGCCATGGACGTCACCAGCCTGTTTCCCCGCGACCGCTTCGAGCACGACGGCATCCTCACGGTCGTTGACCGATTGAGTAAATACGCGCGACGATTTGTCCCTTGCGAGTACTACGCCATGGCTCCTGAACTTGCGTGCCTCTTGCACACCGGCTGGATTTGCAGCCACGACGTATCAGAAGACATCGTTAGCGATCGTGACACTCATTTCATGTCGACATTCTGAACTTCTCTCATGCAGGAATTCGACACCAAAATGAAACCAAGTTCAGCTCATCATCCACAAACAAACGGGCAAATGGAGCAGGCACATCAAGCCGCTTAAATGATGCTTCATACACTCATATGTCTGGATCAGAAGGATTGGGTTGGCCGCCTTCCCAACATCGAGTTTGCCTACAACACTTCGTTGACTCCGGCGATCGGCGTGACTCCATTTGAGTTGTACCATGGTGACCGAAAAGGTCGTATCTTCACTGATCTTCTCCTTCCATGGACAGCCGACATAGACGCCGCTTGCTCTCCCGCCTCTGTCCGGAAGTACAGGGAATTGCTGACTCAAGCCCGTGCGAACATGCAAAAGGCTCAAGTCCTCATGTAGCAGCAAGCCAACAGGCATCGCGTGCCATGTCCCATCCGCGCCGGTGATCGGATTTGAATCTCCGTGGAAGAGTTTGCGCTCGAACAGGATGTTTCACGCAAACTTCTCCCCAAGTGGTTTGGACCATGGACCGTCCGTTCAGCCGCAGGCGATGAGCCTGACGGCCCATCCTCTGTGATTGACATCCCTCCGCATCTGCCAGTCCATTCAGTCCTTCACGCCTCGAAGTTGCGACATACACACCAGCTAAGAGCGATGATTTCCCGGGCCGACGATCGCAAGACCCTCTGTCTATGGATGGTCATCAAAAAGTCGACCGCATCATCACGGAGCGCAAGTACGACAACAAGCCTCAACAGTACAAAGTTACCTTCAAAGCATGCGATCCTGACGACACTCGATGGATTTCATGAGCAGATTTGCAAGCATCCGCACCGCTGATCTACGCTTACTACGAACGACAAAGACTAGCGAAGGAAGCTTCACGACTTGCCCCTCCCACCCGGACTTTGGTCCCTCCCTCCGACAGGCAGCTTCACCCTTGCAGGTAAGCTCGGCCTTTCAAGGAGGGGGGGGGGGTGGCATACTGCGCATCCACACAAGCCTATAGGGCCCGACCAGACGGAAAATAAGGGCCCTCCGGGCCCTGTGTCGTTTCAGCCTAAAAGCCTAAAAGCCTAAAAAGGAGGGTCGTTTTCAGGCCCTCATAAAGTCGACCTATCCTGCAACTCAGGCGCTAGACCAAGGTTAAGTGCAGGCCATTTTTAGGCCCGTTTCAAGACGACCTTTGTTTGAACTTGTACGCCAGGGTCAGGCACGATTCGGCATGGGCAACAGCAGCGTCCCAGCCGGACCAGCACTACATAGCACTGGTCGTCCCTGCAGATTGCAGGCAGTTCACGGGGAGTTCATTGGCACTTCACAGGCAGTTTAGGAGGGAGGAGGCAGTCTTCAGGATTCGGCCGCAACACTCTGGAGGAGCGCTGCAGTAGTAGTAGCTAGCACTAGGAGTAGTCTTCAGCATTGGGCGCTGTTAGGAACTTGGAGTAGCGTTGGAGAGAGAGAGAGAGAGAGTTGGTGGAGGCCAGGGAGACTTACCTGTGGTGCCATAGCCCCAGCTTCGTCTTCGATGTACCTGCAACAAGGCGCCACCTTCACAGGCTAGTACCAGAC